AGGGTGTAGAAACTATATTCTTTATGAACAATTATCTTTATCATAGTGAACCATTTTTGGGTAATTACTTTGTCAAGAAGACTGACATAATTACAATCTTGTACCATATTAGAAGACTCAGGTTCATCTTTTACTACCTTATGAAGAAATTCTTCTACTTCCGAGGGCAGAGGCTTTTTATAATTATTTATGATAGTATTAAATTCTATTTCATCGTTTGAATTGCCAAGACATTCTTCAGGGTTGGAGGCCAACTCACTATTTTTTTGGTTTATTAGTTCATCGCGAACCCATTGAATTCATGTCTTAATTCAGAGACTGTAGGCGCCTTATGATTATTATTATTTTTGTCATCAACTCTCCTAAGAATTTTTGCAAAACTATAGTCCTCTTGTGTGCGAATTAAAGGAGGAGAGGGCTTTCTAATTATTTTGGCTATGTTTATATATTGGACTCGAGCTTCTCACTTAGTCTCAGAATCAGTTATTTTGTCTATTATATCTAGGATTAGATTATCTTCTTTAGTAAGAGTATTGCAAAAACAAATGGTATCCGTATTATCATGATCTGAGTCGGAGCTACTGAAAATCAAATCTTCGTTTTCTATTTCTCCCATCAACATTTCTAGTTCAAAACTAGAAGAACTACCAGAAGACTCCTTACTTATTTGTAATATATTAAACAATTGATCTCTAATATTATCATCTAATTGTAGGGCAACTATTTTTTTCTTTATTATGCATTTATTCTTATAATGGCCTATTTTTCAGCAATTATAACAAACTGGTATCCTTCTTTTTCCCCTAATCCTTTTAAAATTATTATTTTTTGGAGAAAATTTCTTAGAAAACTTGTCTTCGCTCGAAGTTTTATTGGTTCCTAGTTTACTGCTATATTTTCTACTTTTATATTTTCTTTTATCAGAGTCTTTGGAAGAAGGCATTGTGTTAAATCCAAACTGTTCACAAAAATCTCCTAATTCTTTTCTTCCAGGCAGTCTTTGTTTCTCTAGCAGCCTTTTTAGTTTAAGATCTATACAAAGAACAAGGCCTTCTGCACAAATTTCAGCCGAGAGTTCACCTAGTATATATAAAGAATAGGGTATTAATCCTCCATGCTTATTTTTCAATCGACTTTTGACCTTCTCGACAAAAAGATGGGCTAACCCAGCTATAAATTTTTCCTTCCAATGGTCTGATTTACTATCTTCTCTGGAAAGGAGTCTAGAGAAGAATACATCTTTATACCAGTTATAGTGGGATAGTGACAGGCAACTAAGATTAGAAAGTAGGTCTTCTGATCTAGCATCAAGTAATGCAGCACTTCCCACAAAAGTAATAGTATATATTAGAGTATTAACTGCATCACTTTCATTATTTACTATATCTTCGCCATATTCATTTTTGGATACCCACTGCTTTGTCGCAGTTAGTATTTCGTTGTTTGCATTTTCTTCCATATGGAAATCCCACCATCCCCTTAGCCACCCAGTAAACCCACAAATAATGGCCTTCGCTATTTCTTGATCATGATTTCCACTTATTTTACACGCAATTGCATACATAGTCATATGCTTCATTAGATCAAGTATTTGGTTTTCTGACAATCCATCAATATTCCAATTTACAATGGATCTCCCTGAGTAAGATACAGAGCTGATAATCAAATCTCTTCAAACTGGAGATCTACAGGAGTAGGCCTAGGATAATACATTCTGGTCAGAGAAGTTGGTCTTACTTTTCTTCCATAGTCTATTCTATTCACTTCAAGGCTTTCTTCTTTAAAAGCCTGTTCTATTTGCTGGATTTCATTATTAGATAAAGATTCTTCTTGAAGCACCATGGCTCCTTGATCAGTAGCTACCCCTTTCCCTTTCAAGCTCAGTTTTGCCAGTTTCTTTACTAATTCATCAATCAATTCTTTATTATTGTCTTTCTTCTCTATTCCTTTAAGGCTAAACTGTTCTTTATTGAGCACTGGAGGAGGTTTGAACAAAAGAGCTTTTTTTCGTTGATGTCGATTGTTTTATTTTGAGGTTTAGCAATAATATTTTCTATTCTCGTTGTTTGCTTTCCAATAGTCTGAAGGCAAAGATTAGTATAATTATTTTGTTCAATAATATGAGGTGTGGCATCTATTTTATGAGTATGATGTTCTGTCTCTTTTGGAATAACTTTATAGGGAGAAGCTTTAGTTTCTAGTTTATCTTCTAATGCTCCTTTAAGTTGAAGCCTTTATTCAAGAGGGTGAATACTATGTACTTCTTCTCCTTTTGTTGTATGGAAGGTTTGATATTGGGTTTCTAGAGTATCAAGGCCACAATTTGGAATTGGTATTTCCTTTTCTTTTAGGGTATATCTTAAGCAGTCAAAGAACTTTAAATTATGATTAGCTTTCTTTATGGATTTATTGAATTTTTTATGGAATGCATCCAACAATTCTTGGGGAAATTCAACCAGATACCAATCTCGTATCTCTTTATTTTCTTCAGACAAGAAGTCGTTCTTGATTCCTTCTTTATATATTTTGAATTTTTCTTCTTTTTGAAGAGTAAGGATATTAAAGTCTAAATCAGAAGGTGTGGGTTCTTTATCTGGAGAGCTAGGTTCATATATCTTATACACTGGTTGTTGTATATGGCTGTTTGTTCTAGTTAGCCCATCTATTATAGGCCTTATAGAAGTTTATCTTTGTTCAGTTTGTGGTAAAGAAGAAATAATTATAGAAAACATAGAAAAACAAATACAAAATTGGAATATTCCTAAGGTTCCTACGTCTAATGTTCGTAAAAAAGGAACTTTTGAATTTAAATCAAGTTTCCCTATTAAAACTGTAGAACAAAGCATATCCATTACTAATGAACAAGATAGCTTGCAACTGCTTTCTAATAAAATGATACAAGACCATAAAAGTAAGGAATATAAATATTTACATATAGGACTTATCCAAATTGCAATAAAACCTCTAACTCAATTAGGTTTAAATAACTATGTCCTATTATGCTTAAGAGATGAGCGTCATAATAAATTTTCTAACTCTCTTTTAGGAATAGTAAAATCTAGCCTGTGCAATGGACCTATATATTTTAACTGTTTCCCAAAATTTTCGGTTTCTTTGACTGATCCAAACCTCTTACAGGTTCTTACACTAAATATAAAAACTCAGGGATTTGATATGAATCCAGGATCCCAGAATATTGCTTTAGTATATAGAATATGCTATAAAGTGATGAAAACTCTGTGTCCGAATGCACTCCAGATGGACACCAAGAGAGTGTTTTTCGAAACCAATATGGAAAAATCAAATACTGTTATACCTAAGTCTATAAATTGGTCTTTAATAACTCTTCCGGATAACTGGTCTTTACACTACGAAAACCAATTTAACTCATATATATATATATATATATATATATATATATATATATATATATATATATATCTACTAC